AGGTGTTGCCGAGATGAAATAGGTGTTGCCGATACATGAAAAATAGGTATAAACGTAAAACAAAAAAAAAAAAAAAAAAAACGAAAAATTTTCCACTGCGAACAGAAAAAACAGGTGTTGTCGGTGCAACACCGGGACCATACTAAATCCGCCACCGCGTATTGATATAAAAATCGTAAGTAAAAATATATTATTTTTTAATGGGAGTAATCTAAATGAAAGTTGTAGTAGACTAAAATACGAACGCATGGATATAAAGATCGTTAAAATCCGAGATCATATGAAGAAGTTATGACGTTCAGAACATATGACCTAAGCAACCAAGTAGTCGAGATCGCGATGAATATAAGCATCAAAAGCCCCATACATCTCATTAATGAATGTCCCACATAAGATTTCGTGAGAAAAAACTAAAAAATCATTCATAAGTACTGAATGAGTACAAAAAAAAGACTTATTTTGCAAAAAAAAAAAAAAAAAAAAAAGACTAAATGTGTACAAAAATATTAAGGACTAAATGTGTACAAAGTGAGAAATATATTACCCTATTAAGTCATTTTTACCGGGTAACCTGGAGTAGCCGGTCATAAGGACTGAATGTATACAGTTTAACAAGTTGAAGGGGTAAATGTGGACGAAAAAAAAACTCAGTATCCAAATGTATACAAATCGAAAAATATATTACCCTTTTAAGTCATTATCCATTTGTTTATACAACACATTTACTTAAATTTATGTGTATATATGTAATGTAAGGTTTTTTAAATTTATATGATTTCTTTTTAACTATTTACAAATAAAATCATTAGTTTATGTTCACATAAATAAGTAACAAATATATAAATAAGTAAGAGATATATTTTAATGTATAAGTTCATAAAATACTTAAATAAATTGGTAAGAAATCTAGCTAGTTACATAAATTAATAAAAGTGGGTAATATCTTTACTTTTTTTTTCTATAACAATATTATGTACTCTGTATTTAGAATATTTATTTTAATTTCTTGTATTGCTATATATTTATCATATTAAATGTTACTATCAAGTTATATTCTTTTAACAAATTATAGCATATACTTTAAAATAATGAGGTGTTTTATATTAACATCCGATAGAAATTAGGATATTTAGTTAATATGATTTTTTTTAAAGTTAATAATTGAAGAAAGTTTATGATATTAGGTTTTTATTCAATAAGTTTTAGTGAAAATATGATAAGGCAAAATAAAAAGCTATTAAAGAAACAGTTAAAAGATCCTCGCTTATGGAAAGAATTAGTGACAATGGTTTCAGGTGTCAATGGAAAAGCAATTTGAATCAGGAAACTAGGAATGAGCATATGGACCGGGGAACCGGCCGGAACCGGTCCCGGAACCGGAACTGGTACTGGAACCGGAACCCGATGGAACCGGCCGGGCCGGGACCGGAACTATAATTTTGTCAAATTTTGGAACCGGGACCCGGTAAGAACCGATCGTTGGAACTGGCCCAAAACCGGGAACCGGACCGGATAACTCACTCAAATTTTGAAAGTTGCATAACTCACTCAATTTAACTTTTTTTGACCTGAATCTTTTTCCTACATGTAGATTTTGATTTGTAGTTAAATTTAGACTATAAAAACGCTTGATTTGGTTAAAAATTGAATGAGTTACAAGCC